CGGTACAAATAATGACACAGAGGTGTTTTAATATTTTAAAGCTTAGGCCTATAGCTGGGCAGATTCCCAGCCAACTTTCCAGCTTAACCCTACGAATTCTGGGACTACACTCTGCCATGTGGCCTGCTTTACCTCTCTGCTCCTGTTCCCCTCTGTCTGCTCATCTCCCTGTCTTCTGTTGTCTTCTCCCAGAATCCCTCTCTCACAGAAGTTCTGCCCTCCACTCCCTGCCCAGCTGTTAGGTATCTGGTATTTATTACAGACGATAGGCAAGTGAACAAGGATGGATTTTACAAAATATTAGACCAGTGATGGGACATAAAAATGATCACACCAAGATCCAGCAATCACTTAGCTCTCTGGCTGGTACTTAGCTCTCTGCCAGTTTAGCAATCAACAACTGAATATACGGACACACACCTTCACACAGTGGAACCCAGCACTGGTGTAAGGGTTTCACCTTGGGCTTTGGGGAAAGATCATTAGTCCTGATTTTACTCAGTTAGTAGATGAAATCAAGAGTCCATGACATCTTGCCTTCTCTGCCCTGAGAAGGTTCCACACTGCAAGCCTGTGAGCTCCTCTCAGATGCCCTGTCTGAGATCCTCAGTGTCTGTCACAGTGGCATGTCTGAGATACACACAGGAAGACACAGTTGTATGGGCCTGTAGCTTTGGAGGACCCTGTGTGTGCAATGGACCGGGTGCTTTTGGAAGCAGCACATGGGGCAGTGAACCTGTGGAAGCACAGGGCTCTCCATCTCACTGCCAGGGTGAAGAGACAAAGGCCAGAGCACACTAACTCCCTCCACACTCTCCTGAGACCACACACCAAGCTCCTGTTGTGCTCTGTTTACACTGTTAGGGGATTTTTCTGAGACTCTCCATTAGGGACATCCACTCAAGAGCTCACCACTGCCAGTTAGGGTCACTCTGAGGGACAGGCCTAGCAATTGTCTGCTCTCAGGGACCAAACAGCAGCTTAACTTATCACCAGCTGCCACCAGGTGCCAGGTGTGCCAGGTGCTATGAATGAATGGACCCCAGCCACCCAGCTCTCTCTCTCTCTCTCTTCATTCTCTCATGGCTTTCTCTCATCCCTCCAATTTCCAATCTGTGTCTCTCATCTCTATCTTCGTCCACTCCTCTCTGCCCTCTCTCTTATATCTGTGTATTTGTCTCTCATGTCTCTCTCTTGTTTTCTCTGTCTACCTGTCTGCCTTTATCTCTCTCTCATGTCTCCACTCTGAGATGGCCTTTGGCTCTCCCCCCTACCAATAACCCTGTTACATGACATCTGTTGAATGACACAGTTTCCCAGGGACACTCCTTGGCATGGGTCCACCAGTGACACCCTTTGCCACTCTCTGCATTTTATCTTGTCAACAGGCCTTTAGGACATGGAAGTCCTTTAGGACTGGAAGCAATACTCAAGATCCAAACTACAGATTTCTACTCCAGTTCCCAAAAGTTCATGTCTGGCTCATGAAGGAAAATGATTTTAATCCACCAGGAAAAACCTTGAAGTCTCAACTGCTTCTGCCACCTGCCTGGGTACAGAGCCACTCACCCTGGATATTTTGCTAAGTTTCTCTTTTCAAGTAGTTCTTTGTGAATTTCACACCATGCATCCCAACCTACTCAACTCCCTCTCCCCTCCTATCCACCCTCCACACTGTCAGCTGTCTCCTCCCAAAAGAGTAAAAAAAAAAAAAAAAATTGTGGAAGCTGTAGCTTCACACTGTGTCCCACACTATACCCTTTTGTTTCCATTCCTTTCCCTGCAAATATTCATTGTAATGACTTGCTGCTCTGGTAGGAGGCCTCCAGCTTCTGCTACTCTATCAATACTGGGTCTCCTCTCAGATATCCTATTGTTGACCTATGACATGGAGCTCTGCCCCGGCCAGTGGAGCTAAAGTTATGGGGGGGGGGGGTAGAAGAGAATCCGATCCTGTGAAAAGATGAGTGAGAGAGAAAAGAGAGTCCAAGAAACAGGTGCTTGTCAAGGACTAACTTTACTGAGCAAAATCAGCTTTTAAATAGGGTTCAGGACAAGGAAGTAGGGTGGGTGAAAAGTTACAGATTCTTCTCGGCCAGGGGCCTGAAACATCTTGTGCTAAGTCACGGTTCTGTGAGCACATCTCTGCTGCTGCCAAGCCACGGTTCTGGGAGCACATTTATGCTGTTGCCAAGCAGCATGTTTACCGCAGGTAAGGGAACGGGCAAGTTGAGGCAAGTTGGTGAGCTTCCACAGGTGGTCCCTGACAGAGTCCCTGTACTTCTGTCTATTTAGGACTGTCCCTTTCTACACTTCAGAAATTGATGGATGAGGTAGATGTTGGGGCAGGACAACTCAAAGCCCTGGATCTGGGCCTGAGAGGTATGTGTGCCTGCAGCTCTCCAGCCCTATCACCCTCACAGCCTTAGGCCAGCTCAGCAGCAACCTCTGCAGCAGAGCCAGCTCTGCTCTGCTGCCTGGGTGAGATTCAGGGACCAATGTGCTGAGTGTTGCAGCTGGTGAAGGACCTGGCCAGTTATTTTCTCCTAGTGAGCAGGCTCAGTAGGCAAAGTGCTTGCTGTGCAAGTGTGAGGAACTGAGTTTGGATTCCCAGCACCCACATAAAAAGATGAGAATGACTGCATATGCCCAAAGTCCCAGTGTTGGTAGGCAAAGATTGTATCCCTAGGGGCTTGCTTGCCGTGCAGTCTACACAGTTGGTGAGATCAAGGTTCACTGAGAGATTCTATCCCTAACAACAACAACAGCAAAAACTGCATAAATAAATACATGAATAGATAAATAAATGAATAAAGTGGAGGGAGAATGAAAGGATTCAGGGGATAAAGACACACTCTCCAAAAAGCCTGATAACATGAGTTCAATCCCTGAAATCCACATAGTGGAGGAGAAAACCTGTCTCTTTCTGATTCCACACAAGCCATGAACTGGCCCCATCCACACCAAACACACTAAAGAAATAACATGAAAAACAACACAAAGTATCTGACAGTCCAGTGGTGTGACACACTCCTTTAGTGTGAATTCAAGGACAGCCTTCTGTACAGAGCAAGTTCCAGGACTGCCTTGGCTACACAGACAAACCGTGTATGGAAACCCACAAACAAACAAACAAAGAAAAAAACAAAACAAAACAAAAAAGACAAGAAAAAAAAAAAAGACATCTGACATTGACTTCTGTCCTCCAAACTCTAATGCATTACAATATGCAATTTATCCCAATTAATTCCTTAATCCCAAATTCTTTTTCTATTTTAGGAAGGCTGCCCAGGAGTGAGTCCATTTGCTCTACTGATGCCATGGGGGAAATTCTCCATCCCCACCTGAAAAGGCCACTGAGAGCCATAGGTGCTGGTGTCCCCTACCTTGCCAGCACCCAGGATGCTAAAGCATGAACTGTAATGTCCTATTTATGTGTCTGCATGAGAATGGCCCCCATAGGCTCATATATTTGAATAATTGAATTATTCAATTAAATGATTGAATAATTAGTAGGTATAGTCTTGTTGGAGAAGGTTTGTCACTGAGCTCTTCTTTGAGGATTTCATATGTTTTGTTTGTTTGTTTGTTTGCTTGCTTGCTTGCTTGCTTTCAAGTCACGGTTTCTCTGTGTAGCCTTGGCTGTCCTGGACATGTTTTGCAAACTCACTGTGATCAGCCTGCCTCTGCCTCCCTGAGTGATGGGATGAAAGGTGTGCACCACCACGCTTCATCCCCCACCTACCCCATTCCCAGTAAGCTCTCTCTTTGCCTCAAGGTCTGACTTCTCAGCTGTTTGGTTAGAATCATCATGGAGTCAGCATCAAAAGCCAAAGGCAAATTAAATTGTTCCTTTTAAAAGTTGACTTGGAGTCTTAGCTATGGTTGTTATTTTTGTGATGAAACACCATGACCAAAAGCAAGATGAGAGGGGGAAGGTTTAAGTTTTTACAAGTCCACAAGCTACACCATACTTGAAGGAAGTCAGGACAGGGACTCAAACAGGGCAGGAGCTGCTACAGATGCCACATAGGGATGCGGCTTACTGGCTTGCTCCCCATGGCTTCCTCAGTCTCCTCTCCTATGGAACCCAGGACCACCAACCCGGGGCTAGCACAATCTACAGTGGACTGAGCCCTCTCCCATCAATCACCAATTAAGAAAATGCTCTCCAGGCTTGCCTACAGCCCTATCTTAAGAAGGCATCTTTGTCGCCAAATTTCCTCCTCTCAGATGTCTATAGTTTGTGTCCCAATGACATAAATCTAGCCAGCATAACTGACCCCTTTTCATTTTGAGATACAAACACATCACTTTTAAGCCACAACCTTCCTTTTTGTTGTTCATCCCCAAGATCACACATTAATAAAGACATCCCAATATAAATTATTTTTAAAGTGAAGAAGTCCCAGAACAACCTAGGCTACAGAGCAATATCTGCCCAAACCCACCCAAACCAAAAGCCAAGAGTCCTGCAAGGTTAAAGAACTCCTTTCAGGAGGGGGACCGAGCTGTCCAACGAGATGCCTGAGATTTTAGCCGGGTCTCCCCGCCCTCCGACAGATGGCACCCCATCGGCGGGGGGCAGAACAGGTAGTGCGGGACGGCTACACACCCCCCACAGAAAGGGAGGGGTCCGCCCCCACTTTCCTGGTGAATTTTTACAAAGGCAATGCCGAGGACACCTAAGAAGCCCCGCCCACGCGAATGCGCTCTCCCCTGGGGGGCGGGACCAAGCGAGGACCCCTTCTCACTCCACCTATTTTTGAGGAGCTGCCTCAGGGGAACCGAAGCAGTCCATTAAGGAGGCAGCTGTGCTGGGTGCCTGGGAGACCCTGGGCTTCTGAGGACTCGGGGGAGAGGGGAGTCGTGCCCAGAGAGGAAGAGGGATCTTCCCCAGAGTCAACCACAGTTGCTCGATCTGGGCTAAAACGAGGTCTGGACAACGCTGGTAACTGCAGAGTCCCAGGGATTTGTCTTGTCGTCGTCCTCTCGAGGAGAGAGCTCTGAAGGTCTTCCCCGAGCCACCTGGCTGGGAAACATGCCCGTAGTGAGAAGAAGCCGGAAAGCGCCGCTGGATGGCTGGGAGCTGATCGAGCCAACCCTAGACGAATTAGCTCAGAAGATGAGAGAAGCTGAGGCCGAGCCCCACGAGGGAAAGAGGAAAGTGGAGTCCCTGTGGCCCATCTTCAGGATCCATCACCAGAAAACGCGGTACATCTTCGATCTCTTCCACAAAAGGGAAGCCATCAGCAGAGAGCTGTACGAGTACTGCATCAAGGAAGGCTACGCCAACAAGTTCCTCATCGCCAAGTGGAAGAAGCAGGGCTACGAGAACCTGTGCTGCCTGTGCTGCATGCAGACCCGGGACACGAACTTCGGCACCAACTGCATCTGCCGGGTGCCCAAGAGCAAGCTGGAAGTGGATGGCATCATCGAGTGCACGCACTGTGGCTGCCGAGGCTGCTCAGGGTGAGCTGCCCTGTCCTGTGCCTGTCACCCCCCCCCCAACCTGGAGTGCTTTCTCCTCCTTCCAAGCGCTGGAAATCGAAGTGTCGGCTGTGCGCGTCCTCTGAGCAGTGCAGAAATAAAGCCTTTTCACACACCCCCCGCAAAATGATGATTTCTCTCCCCCACCCTCCAGTTTCCATCCCAACATTGTATTGTGATGCTTATTCTAAGCATCGCCTGTCTCAAGTTTGTGTAAACATGCCACCATTTGTTCTCTAAATTGTCAATTAAAACAACCAGCCACGTTGCTGAGCAATGGAGAGAATGGGGTGGATAGCCTGGTCCAGAATGGGAGGAAGAGGAAAGAAGCGGGAGAAGAGAATCTGGAGGAGAGGTCCTGGAACCACATGGAGAAATGAACCGCACCTAAGATATCACTAAAAGCAAGTATAATGGGTGAATCTGAATGGTAGGAAACTGCGGAATTGTAGGTTTAGGATGCAGTAACTATTGCCCAGCATTGTGTTCTGGGTTAATTAATTAAATAAATCCTAGTCTCTGTGTGGTTATCTGGTTATAGAGTTGTTTAGGAATAACCACTGCTTAACTAAAAGATGTATCAATAGCTCTCCCAGAGTGTTGAGTAAGTCCTTTCTTCCTTGTAAGCAAGTCTCCTCATCAACCGAGGCTATGAGCAGATCATCCACATACTGCAAGAGAGGAACTTGGGGGTGCTGTTCTCAGTACTCACACAAGTCTTCATGTAAGGCCTCATCAAAGATCATTGGAAAGTTTTTAAATCCTTGAGGGAGTCTAGTCCATGTCATCTGTCCATTTATTCCAATGTCTGGGTCATGCCATTCAAATGCAAAATATCTCCTGGCTCTTTGGGGCTAGAGGCAGACTGAAAAAGGCATCCTTCAAATCTAGAACTGTGTACCATTGGTGCTCTGGGGGCAATGCATATAGGAGAGTACATGGATTAGGCACAGTAGGATGAATGTCCATCACCCGTTTATTGACCTCTCTGGGGACCTGAACTGGCTGATAATCATTGGAATGTGGCTTATTAACCAGTAGCAAGGGTGTATTCCAGGCTGATTGACATTGCCTGAGAACCCCCAACTCTAGTAACCGATATAAGCCTAAAATGACCCTTTGTTTCTTACTTTCCCAGGGCAGAGAGAGAGACAGTGTTGAACTTAGTCGCTATTCACTTTGGTGTGAGATGTGATTTCTGTTCCTTTTCCATATGCAGACTGAAGCAGGGGTGGTAGCTGAGGACAGCTCCTGATCCATGAGATGCTGGACAGGAGAGGCTGGGAGGGAATGAGAAACAGTGACTGCTCAGCAGTGCTCAGCAGAATAGGGTGGAGCTGCAGCTTCTGACTGGGCAGAATGGAAAAGAGTTCTTCACCAACCGTACAACTGACAGAGGGCTGATATCCAGAATATATAAAGAACTAAAGAAATTTAAAGGCAATAATTTAAACAACTCAATTAAAAAATGGGGTATGGAGCTAAACAGAGAATTCTCTGTAGAGGAATTTAGAATGACAGAGAACACCTAAAGAGATGCTCGACATCCTTTAGCAACCAGAGAGATGCAAATCAAAACGACCCTGAGATTTCACGTGACACCAACCAGAATGGCTAAGATCAAAACCTCAAATGACAACACATGCTGGAGAGGTTGTGGAGAAAGAGGAACCCTCCTCCACTGCTGGTGGGAATGAAACTTGTACAACCACTTTGGAAATCAATCTGGCACTTTCTCAGACAATTAGGAATAGCGCTTCCTCAAGATCCAGCTATACCACTCCTAGGCATATATCCAAAAAAGGCTCAAGTACACAACAAAGACATTTGCTCAACCATGTTTGTAGCAGCTTTATTCGTAATAGCCAGAACCTGGAAACAACCCAGATGTCCATCAACGGAGGAATGGATACAGAAAATGTGGTACTTTTACACAATGGAATACTACTCAGCAATTAAAAACAAAGAAATCATGAATTTTGCAAGCAAATCGTGGGACTGAGAAAAGATCATCCTGAGTGAGGTATCTCAGGAGCAGAAAGACATACAGGATATATACTCCTAAGTGGGTACTAGACCTATAAGATAAGATAAACACACTAAAATCTGTACCCATGAAGAAGATAAACACCAAAGAGGACCAGGGGTGAGATGATCAATCCTCACCTGGAACGACAAAGGGGAGTGACATGGGAAGTAGGAGAAAACAAGGAACAGGACAAGAGCCTACTGCAGAGGGCAACTGAAAGACTACCCAGCAGTGTATCAAAGCAGATGCTGAGACTCATAACCAAACCTTTGGCAGAGTGCAGGGGATCATGAAAAAAGGAGGACCAAATAAACCAGGGCACAGGGGTCTTCTCTGAGACTGTTTATCCAACCAAGGACCATGCATGGATATAACCTAAAACCCCTGCTCAGATGTAGCCCATGGTAGCTAAGTACCCAATTGGTTTCCTCAGTAAGGGGGACAAAGACTATTTCTGACATGAACTCAATGCCTGTCTCATTGAGCTTCCCCTCCCCCCTGAGGGAGGAGCAGCATTGCTAGGCCACAGATAAAGACATCTCGGCCAGTCATGAAGATACCTGATAAGCTAGGGTCAGATGGAAGGGGAGGAGGACCTCACCTATCTGTGGACTTGGAAGGGGGCAGGGAGGAGGTGAGGGAGAAAAGGTGGGTTTGGGAGGGAAAGAGGGAGTGGGCTATGGCTGGGATTCAAGTGAATGACCTGTGATTAAAATAATAAAAAAATACTCAACACTCTGGGAGAGCTTGGCTATCGAGCCTTGGCTAAAAAGGCCCAAATATGCAGGTCAGAAGTACAGTACCTCAGCTACATCTTAAAAGAATGTGAAAGATGGTTGTCAGATGCTCTCAAGGAAACAGTCCTCAAGAATCTGACCCCCACAAATTGGAGAAAGGTGCAGGAATTCCTGGGGTCAGCTGGATTCTGTAGGCTCTGGATACCAATTTTGTGGAACTTGCTAAGCCACTTTATGAGGCCACCAAAGAACAGTCAGTTGACTTTTCATGGACAGGTGGACATCAGCAGGCCTTTGAAGCCATAAAAGGGACAATGCTGTCAGCCCCAGTCCTCGGGTTGCCTGATGTTACCAAACCATTCCAACTGTTATAGATGAAAAAAAAAAAAAAAAAGGAATAGCAAAGGGGGTTCTCACTCAGATGCTTGGACCATGGAGGAGACCAATAGCCTGCTCACCCAAGAAGCTAGACTCTGTGTCTATACCACTTGTCTCCTCATAATTGCTGCAGAAGCATTACTGGTCAAGGATGCAAACAAATTGACTCCAGGGCAGGACTTGGATATAACCACCCCTCACGCCATTGAAAGTGCTGAAACAAAGCCAGATCAATGGCTGAGCAATGCTCGCCTGACCCATTATCAAGCACTGTTCCTGAATCCTCCTAGAGTCACTTTTCAGGTGCTGACTTCTTTGAATCCAGCCACTCTGCTGCCAGAGACAGATTTGGATGCCCCTCTGCATAAATGCACTAGGATCATAGCCCATGTGCACGGCATCCCCGACAATCTCCAGGATGCTCCCTTGACCAACATGGATGAGACTTGGTTCACAAATGGGAGCAGCTTCATCAGGGATGGAAAAAGGTATGCTGGCACTGCTATGGTGTCATTGACTGAGACTGTATGGGCAGATCCCATCCCTCCTGGAACTTTTGGTCAAAGGGCCGAACGGATAGCATTGACTAAGGCATCGACTCTGGGAAAAGATCTAAACCTTAACGTGTATCCTGACAGTTGAATGCCTTTGCGACTGCACGTGTGCCTGATGCCATCTACCAGGAGAGAGGCCTATTGACAGCTGAAGGAAAAACTCTTAAAAACAAATAAGATATACTGGCATTATTAAAAGCTCTCTGGCTCCCCAAAAGACTGGCTATCATACACTGTCCAGCACACACATCCCAACAGGAAGTGAGGGGTTCCCCTGCATTGTCCTCCTATGTGGCATGGCAAGGCTGCTCCCCCTCAGGGGGAGGTGGTCAATAAGCCCAGCCACTGAGTTTATGTCATAGACAGTCCTTGTTCCCTTACTAGGGTACTCACTTGGATACTGACCTACCATGGGCTACATCTGAGCAGGCCTTCTTGGTTATATCCATGGACGGTCCTTGGTTGGACTATGAGTCTCAGAAAAGACCCTTATGCCCAGATATTTTGGTTCTGTTGCTCCTCTTGTAGAACTCCTGTCCTCTCCACTTCTTACTATCTCCTCCTTCTTTTATCAGATCCCCTGCACTCTGCCCAAAGTTCAGTTATGAGTCTCAGCATGTGCTTTGATACACTGCTGGGTAGAGTCTTTCAGAGGCCCTGTGTGGTAGGCTCCTGTCCTGTTTCCTGTTTTCTCCCTCTTCCAATGTCCATCCCACTTGTCATTCTGAGTGAGGATTGATCATGTTACTCAGGGTCTTCCTTCTTGCTGAGCTTCTTTAGATGTACAGATTTTTGTAGGTTTATCCTATATTATATGTCTAGTATCCACTTATAAGTGAGTATATACCGTGTGTGTCTTTCTGCTTCTGGGATAGCTCACTCAGGACGATCTATTCTAGATCCCACTATTTGCCTGAAAAATTTCATGATATCCTTCTTTTTAATTGCTGAGTACTATTTCATTGTGTAAATGTACCAAAATTTCTGTATCTATCTCTTCTTTAATTTTAATTTAAGAGAGGAAGTACAGGAGCTGTCCTGGAGTGTCAAGAGTAAAAGAAAAAGAAAACATGCAAAGCTTCAACTTGGTGCTCAATACCTTTCTGGGTATTGAACTTTTTTGTCTTTGCTTGTGTATCAGGAGGTGGAAGAGGAAGTTGTTCAGGGGAGTGAGTCAGCCAAGCCAGTCCAGTGAGCCATCCTCTTCCCCCAGCCCAAGCCAGATCCTTGTGACCATGAATGCACCCTACCATTTCCTCCTGCAAGTCACTGGGCTAGCACAAGGCCAGGACCAGCCAACAACCAGTTGCATTGAGGCACAAGGGGAGGAGAAAAGAAGGGTAGGATAAGTAGGGGAACCAGGTAGGAGCAGCTTCTTGCAGAGGAATTT